GCATTTCAAACAAGACACTCTTGATGAGCTGTAGTCTGCCTGCATATGAAAGAAACTTAGAGGTCCAGCTTATAATCTTGTCCACAATTTTTTCCACCAAGGGCATACACTGTTGTATGCTGATCTTTTTTGCAGATAATGGTACTCCAAAGTATTTGAATTATAAGGTCCCTTCTGATAACTGCAACTCGGCTAACATTTTATCCTTGAATTCCTTCTTTACTCCTGCTATATATAATGAACTTTTATCCATATTAGCATGCAATCCTGAGACTTCACAGAATTTTGGAAACATCTGATAAGCATCTTCATGGATATTTCATCAGCCCTGCAACACATAAGAAGATCATCTGTGATCATCTGCAAAGCAGATGTGGACAATCTGCAGTTTCCTGCATTTAGGATGAAAATTAAAGTTTGGTATTCTTGTCAGAGCTTTCAGAGATCTATTGAGGTACTCCATGGCTAGAACAAACAGGTAAGGTGACATGGGGTCCCCTTGCCTTAAGCCTTTCCTTGCTTCAAACTTCTCAGTGAGACCTCCATTCAACAGTAGTGAGTAGCTTACTGTACTAACACATGTCATAATCAGTTCCACTAGCTTAAAGGGCACACCAAACTCCAGTAATATTGTTCTCAGAAAACCCCATTCCACAGAATCATAGGCTTTCCTAATGTCCACCTTTATCATACACCTAGGTGATACATTCTTCTGAGTATATCCCTTGATTAGTTCATGTGCCATTATCACATTGTCTAGTATATTCCTTCCTTCAATAAAAGCAGACTGAGTAGGTCCAACCAGGTAATCCACCACCATTTTTAGTTTATTTGTTAAGAGTTTAGCTATGATCTTGTATAGTGTTGAACAACAAGCAATATGCCTAAACTCCTTAACAAGACTGGGATTTTTTACATTTGGTATCAATGTGACAGTTGTGCAATTAACCTCCTTCATTAGCTTTCCTTTTTGAAAAAAATTCTGCACAGCATCTGTTACTTCTTGCCCTATGATTGACCAGTACTCCTTGAAGAATTCTGTAGGATATCCATCAATGCCTGGTGCCTTATCATTAGGCAGGTTCCTCACTACTTGGCTGATCTCCTCATTAGTGATTGGAGCTACTAGTTGCTGCTGTTGAATCACTGTCAAACATGGCCCATCTCTTGCTATAGTTAGATCAATTCCTGGCATTTGGTCTGCTGCTGTCCCCAGTAACTGTTTGAAAAATTGGATGAACTCCTGTTGAATCAGCTTTGGTTTTGTGATCTTCACCTGAGTATCATTGTAAATGCAGCTCACTTTGTTTCTTGCTTGTCTAGCTCGCATACAGGCATGCAAATACTTTGTATTTTGGTCTCCTAGTTGGATCCATGTAGCTCTTGATTTCTGCCTTAGTATTTGTTCTTGGACTGCTTCCCACTTCTCAATATCTGCTAGACATTTCCTTTCATCCTCTATCAGTTCTGCATTAAAATAATCTTCATTTAACATTCCTTGAATCTGATTCAACTCTTCTCTCATCTTGTTTAGCTTTTTATCCACTAATGAATGCTCATATTGTATACTTCTAGTCTCTTTCTCAATCTACTTCAATTTTCTCCAGACTGTAGACATAGCATCTCCTCCACTTCTTTGTTCCCATACTCTTTGTACAATCTCCTTGTATTCTGCCTGCTTCATTACGGTAGTTAACAGTCTGTAAGGTCTGTTGACTTTCATCTTCTGCACATCAGTACTTATCATTATTGGAGTATGGTCTGAACATCCAGGAAGCATGTATTGAGCCTCAATACCAGTGTATAGGTTGAACCATGCAGCATTCCCAAATGCCCAATCTATATGACTATATATCCTTACTTCAGCATCTCTTTTGTTACACCATGTGAAGTCACCCCCTCTTTTGGTAATCTGCCCTACTCTTATATCTTCAATACAATTTTGGAAATCTACTACTTCAGCTTGTTGTACAGGATTACCATTTATCCTATCATCAACATTTAGTACACTATTGAAATCTCCTATTATAAGCCAAGGATCATTCAATTGTATACTTCTTAGTTTCCCCCATAGCGATTGTCTATGTTGAACAGTATGCAATCTATAAACAAATGTTATGTAACAATTGAAAACAGAATTCTTATCTTACACATAACAATGAATCAGTTGCTCTGTCTTCTCAGTACTGTTACATTGACATTGACTTCCTTCCACATTAGCCATATTCTCCCATTTGGTGCATATTCATAATTGTCCTCAATTTTCCAATCATCGCCTATTTTCCTTTGAACATCCTTTGCCTTCTGCTTTTTGACTCTTGTTTCAAGGCAAGCTATCATATCCACTTTGTTTCTCAGCAAGAATTTCCTCACTTCTCGCTGCTTGTGGGACTTATTCAGTCCCCTCACATTCCAAGATATGATGATCATGGTGGCTGAGCATTAGGGGTGCTGTTTAGGCTCCTTTGTCCTGCTTCATTTCTGGTATCTGCATGCACAGTCTGTTCAGGTGGCTTCTCTTTTATCATCAGTGGTGCAAACCTGTTTCTATTTGCTAGCTCCTCATAATTGATCTCCTTATGCTTCAAATTTTGTGTGTTCATCTTCTGCTTGCCTTTGTCTAGCTCCTGTTTCTCCTCCTGTGCAGTATTATCTGTTTGTTGTTCCTTTACTTCCTTTGGCTTCCATATCATTTTCCTCTTCTTTCTTCTTCTTTTCTGTTTGACTTCTTCTTTCTGTTCCTCCATCTGTTGGCATTTTCCTTTCTCATGCCCAAAGTTGTTACACTCTAGGTAGAATTTTGGTTTCCACTCATATTCCACCATTTGAATCCAGCTTTTTTGACCAGGTATCTCAATGTGGACTTCCTCTGGTAGAGGCTGTGTGATGTCCATATCAATTAGAACTCTAGCATAGGAGACCCTCTCACAATCCGCAGTTAGCCTATCAGTACAAATTGGCTTACCATTGAGACGGCTTTCCTTTCGGATGTAAAGTCTGAATAAAGTAGAAGAGTACATTAAATTAACTGCCAGTGTAAAACTATTTAATTATGATTTGTAAAAATTAAATTATAATTAATTGGATTATTCAAATTATGTAGGCCTTTAAATAAATTGGGAAAATCAACAATACTATGAATATGCATTTAGAGGTCGTTTGGTTGGTAAATAAGTTATCCCATGATTAATTATCTCGAGATTAGTTATTCCGGGATTAGCTATTCCATCCTCCGATGTGAATAAAAAAATACTACAATTCTGGGATAACTAATCCTAGGATTAATTATACCACGATTTTATCTCAACTAAACTTGGGATAAACTCATCTCAAGTTTAATTTCAGAATTAATTATCATTTATCCCTCGTACCCAACGAGCCTTTAGTGTTGTAGTTGGCTGATCATGCATTGTGTTTGTTTGCAGAGCACACGTATCCCATGACTCAGAATATTATAGTTTAAACAAAATAAAATAAATATAAAAAATTATAATTATAATTGCAAAATCAGCTACTATCAAAGAGTAAGAGCCAAATTTCAGGCATTTATTTTCACAATTGTTAAAATTACACCAAAATATGCAAAATATTTTAATTCCACAATTATTGATCTTTAGAGATCTTCCAGAGTTTTTTTAGTACAAAATCAAAATGTCAATGAGAATATAAGACTAAAAATAGTAAAGAAATCTTGAATCTCTCTCTTTCTTGAATAGCCATAAAAAAGTGTAGGAAAAGTGAGCAAATCTTTTAATTTTTGGATAGTCCTCTCAATTTTTATTATTTTTCCCTTAGATATTCTATATGACTAAAGTGTTCATTAAGTGACCCCCTTTATTATTATTTTTTTTTGGCAAAGATATTAATATGTTGGAACCCCTTTATATTATTAAAAATAATATAATAATATAATTTTTAATAAAGGGATTTGAACCGATGACTTATGCCTTACCATGGCGTTACTCTACCACTGAGTTAAAAGGGCCTTTTTGATTTAATTCCGGAATTATTCACTTTTAGCCTGCTTCTTACTATTTAATTAATGAGTTTAAAGTTCTATTCATCCAACGGTAAAAAATAAGATTTAAGTTATACACACTGATGATATAAAAATATTTACATAATCAGTAAACTTTCACTTATGATATTAGGAGTTATCAATTTTATCACATTATTAATTAATATTGATCAAAATATTTACCTGTAATTATTTAATGATTGATCTGATTACATAGCTTTTCATATAGTTAATACATAGAACTTAAACTCAAAAAAAAAAATATCATATAACTTATCCAGTAATTGCATGTACATTATATATTAGATATTACTAATAATAATATCATAAAAATAATAAATAAACTGCTATCATATGTTAATTCATACTGATAATGTACAATATTTTACATTAATGGTGTATATAAAACTTAAAAGAGTTAACTCAAACACCCGCTCGCCTAATTCCTTAAACTAAAAATATCGGCGGATGTATAATATATGTATAACTATGTATAATTAATATATAATCTATGTATACCGACTAAAAAAATAAACATCAAATTTGGCGGGCTATTTGTGTAACAATCCCAATAACTTAAGCCCTTAAGGGGTCGTTTGGTATGATGTATAAGTAGATATAGTGTTGATATAAAAATTTAATACCACCTTAATACTTTATTTGGTTAGCAGACTATAAGTTATCCCGTACTGGGATAACTTATACCTTGTAGAGGGTGGAATAATTAGTGCCGGGATAACTTATACTTTTTTCTTAAAAATTATGCAATTGTCATTTTTAATACAACATACCAAACAGTGAATAAAAACAATCCCAGCATAACTAATCCCAAGATAACTTATCCCAGCATAAACCGTATTCGAACCAAACGACCCCTAAATAAAATAGCCTAAAAATAGTTCAGTACTGCTGTATTTTTTTTTCTCCTTTTGTTCTTTAAAGATAGTAATCAAGAAAATCATATGTATTACTAGTATTTGTATTTCCACTTGCTATGTAAATGATGATATGAATGAATGAACATAATGCAGAATCATTGAATTCCCATCCAACACCTTTACTACTAACTTCACCAACCCAACTCTCATTTCCATTTATGAAACCCTCCCAACATTTTTACCACTACACATTTACACAACACTGTCAATTTTCTAAGTATCTTTTTCTTCCTTTTTTAGTCTTGTTTATTTTATATAAAAGATTTGGACTTCTTTTTTTTGTCTTTGTTGAAACACAAAGACAAAGCATTTATGTTGTTGTATTTGTTGGTTTCATTAGTAGACATGCAACAAGGTAAGTAAGTTCACATTATTCAGAAACCCCAAAATCTTAGTTGTCCTCTGAAAATCCCATTATCTTCTCAATTCTTGTTTAAAGATTTGATTTTTAACCATTTTTCTTGTTAAAGTTCTTGACTTTTAGCCAATTTATACTATTCTTGAAGTTCTTGGCTTTGTGGGTTTGTCATTTGTGGTGCTAAATATAGAAAGTGTTTGTTTTTGCTGATTCTTGGAAAGTACAAGGTGCTTTTGAAGTTTTGAAAAAGGAGAGATTTTTGGTGTTGTTGGAGGGGATTTGGTTTTCTCCTTTTTTTTTTTTTTTTTCTCTCTGAGTTTGACAGTTGAATCCCAAAAATGGGAATTTGGATTCTTGAATTTTTCCTGGTTTTAACAGTGTTATTTAGGCCTTTGGTTTGTCAGCAACCAAACACTGATGGTTTCTTTGTCTCTGATTTCTTGAAAAAAATGGGTAAAGTTCACAACTTTTCAGCTCATTTTTGTTCTTGGAAAGGTGTAGGATGTGATTCAAAGGAAGAAAATATTGTCAATTTGACAGCTAAAAGTTTTGGTTTATCTGGTATTATTCCTGATAATACTATAGGTAAACTCACTAAACTTCAGTATTTGGATCTGAGTAACAATGATCTCACTGGTTTACCTTCTGATATTTGGAGTTTAGGTTCACTTAAGTACCTTAACCTCTCACATAATCACATTTCTAATGACCTTTCAAGTAATATAGGCAATTTTGGTGAGCTTGAAATCTTGGACATTTCTGTTAACAATTTCTCTGGTAAAATTCCAGAAGCCATTAGCTCTCTTTCAAGATTGCATTCTCTTAATCTTAGTAAGAATGGGTTTGAGTCAGATTTGCCTTATGGAATCTTGAATTGTCATTCTTTGGAATTTCTTGATATTTCAGAAAATAGACTTAGTGGTTTACATGATGGTTTTGGTGCTGCATTTCCAAAGCTTAAGTTCTTGAATCTTGCGGAAAATGAGATTAATGGGAAAGATTCGGATTTGTTAGGGATGGTTTCGATCACTCATCTCAACATTTCAGGAAATTTGTTTAAGGGTTCTGTTGTTGGTGTTTTTGAGGGGCCATTGGAAGTGATTGATTTGAGTAGAAACCAATTTCAAGGTCATATTTCTCAGGTAAACTTCAGTTCCAGTTTCAATTGGTCTCATTTGGTTTATCTTGATTTATCTGAGAATCATCTTAGTGGAGAGATATTTAAGGAGTTAATCAATGCGCAAAGTCTTCGATACCTTAATCTTGCACATAATAGATTTTTACCACAAGAATTTCCACATGTTGATATGTTATCTGGTTTAGAGTATCTTAATTTCTCTGGAACCAGTTTGATTGGCCATATTCCTCAAGAGCTCTCGTCGTTGAGTCACTTGAAAATCCTTGACATATCCAAAAACCATCTTAGTAACCGCATTCCTGTATTGAGCAATAGAAATCTCCAAGTTCTTGATGTTTCATACAATAATTTGACTGGTGATATCCCTTTGCCACTTCTAGAGAAACTTCCCAATATGGAAAGGTTCAATTTCTCTTACAATAATCTAACTCTTTGTGCTTCTGAGTTCTCCTCGAAAACGTTCCAATCGGCTTTCATTGGTTCATCAAATGGATGTCCTATTGCTGCCAATCCTGCTCTTTTCCATAGGAAAGCTCCAAAACATAGAGGACTCAAACTTGCATTGGCTTTAACTTTCTCTATGGTGTTTCTGCTTTTGGGGTTGTTGTTCTTGGCGTTTGGTTGTCGAAGGAAAACCACGATATGGGTGGTTAAACAGAATTCTTACAAAGAAGAACAGACTATTTCAGGCCCCTTTTCGTTTCAGACTGATTCAACCACTTGGGTTGCTGATGTTAAGCAAGCTAACTCGGTGCCCGTGGTTATTTTTGAGAAGCCACTTTTGAATTTCACATTTGCAGATCTCTTGTCTGCGACTTCTAATTTTGATCGAGGTACATTGTTAGCTGAAGGGAGGTTTGGTCCGGTTTATAGAGGCTTTTTACCAGGTGGGATTCATGTGGCAGTGAAAGTTCTTGTTCACGGTTCGACAATGACAGACCAAGAAGCTGCAAGAGAGCTCGAGTATCTTGGCCGGATAAAACATCCAAATCTTGTGCCGTTGACCGGATATTGCTTGGCTGGTGAGCAAAGAATTGCCATTTACGATTACATGGAGAACGGAAATTTGCAGAATTTGCTTCATGACTTGCCACTCGGGGTTCAAACTACCGAGGACTGGAGCACAGACACGTGGGAAGAGGATGATAATAACAGTATTCAGAATGTTGGTTCTGAAGGATTGTTGACAACATGGAGATTTAGGCACAAGATTGCGCTTGGCACAGCTAGAGCCCTTGCATTTCTCCACCACGGTTGCTCGCCTCCCATTATACATAGAGATGTGAAAGCTAGCAGTGTTTATCTTGATATAAATTTGGAACCAAGATTATCTGATTTTGGATTGGCTAAAATATTTGGCACCGGACTTGAGGATGAGATCACTCGCGGTTCACCTGGATATATTCCCCCAGAGTTTCTTCAGCCAGAGAGCAGCAGCTCCCCGAAATATCCAACACCAAAGTCAGATGTGTATGGATTTGGAGTCATTCTTTTCGAGCTAATTACCGGGAAAAAACCAGTTGAAGATGATTATCCAGAAGACAAGGATGCTGATTTGGTTGGTTGGGTTAGAGGATTAGTAAGGAACAACCAGGGATCAAGAGTTATCGATCCAAAAATTCGTGGAACTGCATCGCAAACTCAAATACTAGAAGCCTTGAAAATTGGTTATCTATGCACAGCTGAAGTTCCTGCGAAACGACCGAGCATGCATCAAGTAGTTGGACTGCTTAAGGATATTGAGCCTACACAACAATAAAGATTTAAGGATACAGAAACATTGGCTCAATGCATAAATTTTTACCTCTCTTCATTTTGGTGTTCTGAGTTCTCCTTCTTGTGTTTGCCACAAGAGGAATTGTACATTAGTCCAATATTTTTGTTTGCTGCTTTATGCCATGTTTCTCATTTTCCTTTTAACATTTCCACTAGCAAAGGTTTAAGTTATAGTACAAAATGGACTTGCTTGACCCTTGAGAAGGAAAAAAGTTTTCCACTCATTTCCATTTGTGTTTTCCAATTCTTTGAAATTCTTACAAGTTTTTGGCACTTTTGGTTGTTTCATATTTTTAGCCTTGTTTTTCTTCATGTTATGAATTCATTCTGTTAAAGTTCATAGGAAAAAATACTAGATGACATAGAACAGCATCCAAGGACACTTTCTTTTAAAAAAGGTAGTCCGGTGCACTAAGCTCCCGCTTTGCGCGATATCGCGGGCCTATCCTCAGGCATGATAATAGTAGGTTGAACTCCCCCAACCGATAGCACTACGGGGGTCTGATAACCATGGGCCATCTACTATCTGGGGTACGAGTAGTTGGAGTCTGTGGGATCGGAGAAGAGTCGGATCATAAGGGTCTATTGTATACAGCCTTATATGGTATTTCTGATATGGTATTTCTGCGAGAGGTTGATGGTATTTCTGATATAGTATTTCTGCGAGAGGTTGTTTTCAAAACGCTTTCTTTATATATCCAAAAATGAGATAAGTCACCTTTTTGAGTGAATACTCTTATAAAGGAAAAAAATTTCTCATTAATATATTATGGTGGAGCTGCTGTTAATTTATGGGGTTCCATATTACAATTCTTGGAAACAGTAATTGCAGAAAAACCATAGGAGGACCACTTTCTCTAGTGGTCTTTTTCATGAAGTATGTGTCACTGTATAATGTATATGTAGGACAAGAAATTTATATTATTCTAACTCTTCCAAACATTAATATAATTAATCACTATTGACTAATAATATAGTTAATCACTTTTGACTAATTTTCTCTGTTGCTATGTTCTCTGAATCTTGCTACCTTAATCATTTAGATGCTATTCATGTTCTAGGTCCTTCATATTTAGTCCTTTATTGTACTGGTCCTACGGTCAATAAAGTGAGTGAAAATTATAGAAAATCAGGTTACAAAGTCCAACTGAGTTAAAAAAAAAAAAAAAAACGTTAGGTGATATTTTCCTATATGACTAAACTTTGGTGGACAAAAGAGAGGTAATAGGTGTTCGATGAAATAGCCGAAATACACGCAAAATGGGTCTAACACCACATATATTTAGTCCTTTATTGCATGGCCTAACGGTCAATAAAGAGAATGAAAATTATAGAAATCATGGTATAAAGTCCAACAGAGTTAAAAAAAACATTTGGTGATATTTTCCTAAACGACTAAACTTTGGTGGACAAAGGGAGGTAATAGGTATTCGATGAATAGCCGAAATACTTGCAAATTGGTTCGAACACCATATATATTTAGTCATTTATTGCATTGGCTTAACGGTCAATAAAGTGAGTGAAAATCATAGAAATCAGGATACAAAATCCAACATTGTCAAAAAAAATTGCTAGGGTGATATTTTCCGATCAGACGAAACTTTGATGGATAAAAGGGGTAATAGGCATTCGATGAAATAGTCGAAATATGCTCAAACTGATCCGAACGCCATATATATTTATTCCTTTATTTCTTGTCTTTTTGAGAGATGGTAGAGGGGGGTTTTGGGGGGGGGGGGGGTTGAGTTGTGAGGGTGTTTGTCCATGTTACTAATAGTACAAAAATGTCAATTTTCTTTTTATAACATAGTTTATATGCCTAAAATGATTTCAGCAAGAGAAAACAAACAAATCTTGCTAGATACTAGCAAGATGTTTGCTTACAACATCGTAATTCACAACCAACCTAATCAGTAATGTCATGTTCTAGGAATCTTGACTATTACCTGTCAAAAAATACTGGTACAATGTAGTACTTTATAATAATCAATATTAATAAATAAAATAAATGCAAGATGCTATTCATTGGTTTGGTTTTGGAGCATGTTTGCAGGAATTTCTGACTAAAGTACTGAAGAATGGAAAGAACTGGCATCAATTACTCTCTGTAATATGTTTAAGTTTCAGACAGGAAAATAAAATATAAAAAATAAAAAGGGTTTTAAATACTAAAACCAATTGCAGGTAATATGGGTTGGAATATTAAGTATTTGTCATTAAGTGCTAGTATTTGTACTCTTGGTATGGTGCTATTTCAATAATTTATTTGGTTTGAATTTGAATTGTACAAGAAGTTGGTATGGACTAATTAAAATATTTTGAATGGGAAATAAACAATAAACAAAAATAAAATCATTGCTTTCTTGGTAAGAGTAATAATAATGGGCAAAGATCACTTTTAGGCCGCGGCTGAAATTATTTACATTCGGTAGCCGTATAAATGTAAAAAATTTACATATTTTTTTGTATATAACATATAGAAATGTATATGTATATAAAAAATATATTTTTCAGCTATTATTTTCATAGCGTCTATACAATGTCATTTTCCCTAATAATAAGGGAACTAGAAAGTTAAAAGATAAATTAAGTATAATTAGATAACATACTTTTGCAATTTAGTAGGTGAATGTCCAAGAGTAAATTATGCAAAATGCTAAGTGATAATCATAGCATACAAGATTTAGTTGGGTTAATCGATTTTCAAGAATGATTAATAGAAATGACACACAAATTTCTTTGTTTATCTTTTAACGTGAAATGTACATAAGATGTTGTTACTAATTATATTTTTTCGCGTCAGTTATCTCATTATATCGTTGTTTCTATAGCTTTTTTTTATTTGTTCTTGAGCCGAGAGTCTTCGGAAGTAACCTCTATATCTCCACAGAATAAGAGTAAGGTCTGCGTACACATTATCCTCCTGACGGTCAAATCCTACTTGTGAAATTATAACATTCAAACATAATGATAACTATAGACTTGAAAGTGAAGCTCTCATGTTGTCAATGAATTATTATGGAACAGTTGGTAGAGTAATGACTAAGGATACTACATTATGATCATTTTGTTCAAGAATGCTTATATACATGCAAAATTTTCAATCATGCTACATTACCTAAAAGGGTAAAATTTTATACACAGTAACAAAGCAAATTTTTACCCTATTGAATTTTACCCTATCCATGGGAAATAATATTATTTTCTCCTTGCACTTCAATTTCATCTGCTCGTTTGAGCACTCAGAGAAGTCACCCAAACCACTTATTTTTGGAAATATTTGTCGTGTTATTCATGGAAGCAGAAATGAGTTACAAATTCACCAAGAACAACAATATCACTAATGAATTTGAATTTCGAATCTTCAAATTTATTTTGATCTTTGTTCTTCACACCAATGGTGTTCTTTTCTTCCTCTTTTTTCTTTCTTTTGTTCGGTATTAAATTCAATCAATAGAAATTGATATTCTTAAATTTATTTTCTGAGACATTGCCGCAATTCAATAGTTTCATTTGAAAGTAACAATGTTTAATCACGTAGTATCATGGATTAAGGTAAAATACCAAAAGATTTATTTATGAATTTGGTATAATATATGTAGATACTTTTCATATAGCATAAATGAATACATTAATATACGTATTTGCAAAATATATTTAGATGCTCTATTATCTATATACAAATAAAGAACGTTGGATATAAGAGGAGTATATATAGTATATTTATAGTATATGGTATATAGTATGTAGTATATGGTATATTTATACATGTACAATATATAATTTCTTCAAGTAAATTATATATATATATATATATATATATATATATATATATATATATATATATATATTGGTAACTAACTTCTTTTTTATTAATCACCAAAAAGTATTTACATAACAAAGCAAAGCTAACACAACTTGCTAATCTTTTGCTTACTCCTTATACTAATTTTCCTAGAAACATAAACTATACACATAATGTTTGTTCCTAGGAGTGACTCTAGCACTAACTATATATGCTATATCTTTTGAAATTTGCTCCTCGTTTCTGTTCTTCTTCTCAAATATTCTTCTGTTTCTTTCAAGCCATATATGATAAACAGCTTCTGCATACATCATTCTGAATATCATCACATAAGCAGACTTCCCTTTTGCTTGATTTATGGACCATTGAACAAACTGCTGCCAGTTGCCATTTCCCAATTTCTGTCTTCCAAGCCATCTGCACATTCTGTTCCACACTTGGGTTGCATAATCACAATGCCAGAAAAGGTGATCTCTTGTTTCCTTTTCTTTTTTACACATCACACACTCAGGTTCTACATTGACCTTCCAGCTAATTAACCTGTCACAAGTCATTAATTTTTCCTGGATCATTAGCCACATGATGAATTTTGCTTTTGGCCTTGCTGCATTTTGGAACACCATTGTCTTCCATTCCATTCTTCTGTAATCTCCCGGTAGGTGCAGGTATATTTGTCTGATCATGCTCTTCTTCTGATTCTGTGAGAACTGCACCTCTTCAAGTATACTGTATGACTCAATCACTTTCCTTACCATCCAGCATGCTTGTTGAGGAACTTGCATTGTCTTCAGTTGCTGATTCTTGATATAATAAGCATATATCCATCCAATCCATAGCTTGTCCTGCTTGTATGCTGAATCCCAACATGTCTTTGCAATAGCTGCCTTGTTCCACAGCTTCAAGTTGATTATGTTGAGTCCACCACCTGCCCTTGGTAAGCATACTTTATCCCATGCTATCAGTGCCCTTTTTGTAATCTCATTTGTCCCGGACCAAACATATGATCTACATATTCCCTCTACTACTTTAATCACCTTAGCTGGTAGAATAAATATTTGTGCCCAGAATGCCTGCACCCCAAATAGCACACTCTGAACTAGCTGCACTCTGCCTGCATAGGAAAGGGTTTTAGCTGTCCAAGAAGTAATTCTTTTAGTCATTTTCTCAATCAGTGATTGCCATTGCATTAAACTCAGCTTCTTTGTAGATAAAGGAACTCCTAGATATTTGAATGGGAGTTCTCCACTTGTAAGACCTAAGCATTGCAATATTTGGTGTCTGTTTGTCTCATGAACACCTCCAAAATATGCTTCACTCTTGCTTAGATTAGCTTGCAATCTAGATGCTTCAGTGAATTGTTTGAACTTCTGTTGCATTGATTGTACAGACTTCAAATCACCTCTAGCAAACAGTAAAAGATCATCTGCAAAACTTAAGTGAGTGATCCCAAGTTTTGCACACCTAGGAT